TGGATGGATGAATACGGCTGAGCCCTTTGGATCGGGCGGTAGCTTACGCCACCTAGCCATTTTGTTTTACCATTTAAGCTTAGAATATTTAAATGTGAAATCTATATTCACTCCGCTTGGGCCGCCGGCGGGCCGCCGCGAAGCGGCGTGTACCGGTAGGCCAATTGGGCCAATATTCTTCTTATGAGCAGCCGCAGACTTTCGCCGCGAATCGGCGTGAACGCAGGTGGGGGGATGTGTTAACGAGCTCCCCAGTGATACACGCGCCGTCCGAAACTGCCGGCAAAATAGTCTCACCCTATAAATTAAGAATAGCAACGGCCCTAAGACTGCCCCTTGTGGAACCCGTGACGCAACTTTGAGAAAAGAGGAGTTACTGTTATTTACAGTGACAAATTGAGACCTTTGCGTTAAAAATGACTGTATCCATGCGAGAACGTTATTGTCTATGTTAAGGTTGGAAAGTTTTAAAAGCAGAAGATTGTGAGAAGCTTTGTCAAATGTTTTGGCAAAATCCAGGAAAATGCAGTCCGCCTGGGATCCTCGGTCCCAGGCGGACCGAGGATCCCTGGAATTATGCCAGGTGGCGCAAGCTACCGAACGCTAAAAAGGGTGTAGCTATTAACATCCATCCCTAAAGTTTACCAGTCTTGGGTAGTAACGCGTTACTAGTAACGCGTTACTGTAACTTCGTTACTTTTTTGGTAACTTGTAACTGTAACGAGTTACTTTTTGAAAAGGTAACTTGTAACGGTAGTTCTATTACTTTTTTCTCAGGTAACGATGAAAGTAACGACGTTACTTTTGTCGTTACTTTCCAGTGTTTTACGAATAATATATCACTGCATGAGGTGCAATTTGGCCATTCCTTGCACTTTCCAAATCGTCCATTCCGACATTTCGAGTGTCAAGTTGGCCTTGCACAAAGTTGTGAATACGTTCTTTCTCGCGAGTCACGACCCGAATATAGCCACATGTAGATTTTATGAAAAAAATATCTAGTTATCTTTAAGCACGCGCTTGTACTTTGTGACTGAACACACATCTTAAGGCCCGTTCACACTCTTGCGACTGCTTGCGACCCCTTAAACCTGGGTTCCTTAAAACTTCTTAAACCAGAGAACACACTGGCGCCGTCTATTGGGAAGCAGTATAAACTCGGCGGTCCGGCATATTTTTTTTGTTATTTCTCGCGCATTATCCTTTCTTTTTTGGCTCGAAAAACTTTTGTCAATGTTATAAACGAGCCTTTCTATGGTTATTACGCACATTTGACCTCGGAAATCCCGCAAAACCTTCGCTCTTGTGAAATGCAGTTCCAGGGTCACCGCATAGATGGCGCCACAATACCAGTGTGTTCCCTCATTCTAAAAACATTTAAGAAGTTGTAAGAGATCCTCGTCTCTCTCAGTCGTACTCGGTCGTACTCGGTCGCAAGAGTGTGAACGGGCCTTTAGTGTCTTGAAGCACTATCTATGTTGTGTTTTTTTTCTTTTTTCTGTGCAAACGCTTTTCAATCGGGTGAATCAACCGTGAAACAACAATACACACGGAGGGCACTGCGAATGTTTCGTATTGTGATTAGCGCCACGACTTCGCACTGCGCATGTTTCGTTTCTTGATTTGCGCCACTGCTCTGGCGTGGAAACTTTCAAACACTAACTTCGAGAAGTAACTGCTGCTAAGTTACAATATGAAGTAAAAAGCATACTTTTTAATTTTATGCAATAAAATGTTGTGAGAGGCGTTTTCTAGTTTTTTCTAATATTTTTTTGTGTTATAGAAAAGTAACGTCGTTACTTTTTAAAAGTAACTGTAACTGTAACGAGTTACTCTTTTGTTGCAGTAACTGTAACGGTAACTTCGCTACTTTTTTCTGAAAGTAACTGTAACTGTAACGAATTACTTTTTAAAAGTAACTTACCCAAGACTGAAGTTTACTCTAGCTGTCATAAAAGAACAAAATGATAGCGTGACGGTTAACGTGGCTGCGGCACTTTACACACAAAAAAAAATATATATATAAGTCCTTGAAATGTGTCTTGAAATACCCCAATATGTAAAGTGCATACTTTTTCCTTTTTGAATAAATTCTAAACACACGTTTTGTGCGTTGTTGGCGTCATGATTTTTATGCTTCATGCATCTTGACTTTTTTTTTAGCGTCCGTACGAAACAACACTACGAACATTCTTTTTTTCACCTACAAATGAAGATTGGAAAATTCTGTAGCCAAATTTTAAAACCAGGAAAGGACAATTTGGACGGTGGAGAAGAGCTCACCGCAAAACCGGCAGATGCGAAAAAACTCACAGTACTGTTGTTTTTTTTAGAATAGCGTGTTTGGCGTCACACCTGGCAATTTAGCACAATTAGAATTTGTCACTTCGTTAAAAACTATTGTCTTTTTTTGTAATATTCTTGAAGTTTATTGGGTATATTTACTAACTCCTCATCCGTATACATCAATGACGCCGCAAGTATAAGATGAGAACATCGGACACCCGCAAAACATACAATTTTTTGACAGCCTCGCAATGGCCGTTGGTGGCTGTCAAATAAAGAGCTTTGTCTTTTTGCGAGTTAATATGAATAGCGGTGTGAGAACCTTTTCAGCTCCGAAGATTGTATGGTTTCCGATTTGTGTGCAGGTGTTTGTTAATGTAATCAGTGAGGGCTACGCTGCTTTCTTTTTGTTACGTTCACTAATAAAACATTATTTACGAGAACAGCTTCGTCCTGTCGTGTTTGTAGCCCACCCCGTCTTTGTCGTTTGATCGTTTTTTACTATGAATAACGTTTACCAACTCGCCCAATTCGCTACCTTAAAGAAGACTAGTGCTGATACAGGTCACGAGTAACATCGATGACATTGTGCAGCTTTGAAGGTCATGGATAGCTCACCGTAGAAGGGCACTAACACACAAAGGCAACGTGTGGAAACACCAGCACGAACGGCTAGAAAACGTGCATGTCCGTGGAAGAAAGAAACCTCAACGTCCTACTGACCGTTCTATCCGGCCTTCAAAGGCTAACTAAAGCTTCAAAAAGAATTTTAGGCACCGCGTGTTGCGCACGCACTTTAAAAGTTTTGGCATTCACTTTTCTTTTTAGGCTTTAGCCCAGGGGTCTCAAACACGCGGCCCGCGGGCCGCATGCGGCCCGCGACTCGCTGGGACGCGGCCCGCAGGCAACCGGCTACGAATCCCGGTCCCAATCTCTCAAGCGCTAAAAGTGGCATGCGCCATTGTGATCTCATCTCGACGATTCATTTTTCCTCGAAAAGCAGCCCTGCTCTTTTAACATACTCACATAGTTTATACTTATCAGTGTTCATTTGCCATTTGTTTCACATAATTTCTTGCTTCCCAGCTTTCTGTAATGCATAACAATTCCGCTGCCATACTGCAAGCGCAAGCTATACGTTAAAGGATGCATTTGGGCTGCGCGAACTCTCGATCAGCAGAAGCAACTGGCAAGGATAAAGCTACGAGCTCGGGATTCTCGCCTTCAAAAATATATAACCAATAAAAGACAAGTATTTGTTCGAGTGTTCTAGCAAAAATCGCCAGGAAAACAACAACTGTCATATTAACTCGTTGTTTTTTGAGACATCTGGAGCTTGGTTAATTCCTGTGTGAATGAAGCAACGGGAACGACAGTGTACTTTTACTAAAAATGCCAGCACGTTGGCGGTGCGGTGTCATTTTAATTCTTATCACATCAGGTCAAGGTCCAAAGTAGTCTTATAACTTAAGCAAATCACATCTAAAGACGTCAGTGGCAAGACTTTGCGTTTATAAAAAGCATTAATACCCCCCCCCCCCCCCCCCCCCCGTCTTACGTTGGCCAACACTGGCCCTCGACCTTTCAAGTGTGGGATATCTGGCCCCCACACTCAAATGAGTTTGAGACCACTGTTTTAGGCAGCCATTATTAGGTTTCGAACTTTTTCCTGTTCTTCAAGTTCATAAAGTTTTCAGTTAGGCGTTCGTTGCCTCGAGAGTAAACCACAGGAAACACTCGCCCGCATTATACTTAATAAGCCTAACAAATATTACAAAAAGGGACATTTTCTTTCTTACAAAGCTGACGAATTTTAATGATAATTAATCGATAGATGTTACGCATGAGGCAACAGCCTCCACATGAAGAGAAGATAAAAAAAAAATCGGTGAGCTTTTCTCCGCATCCGCCGGTTTTGCGGTGAGTTCTTCTCCTGGATTTGGTAATTCAACTAACAGCCATTACCTTAAACGATGCATTTAGTTGGGATTGTTGGTACGTATTTGTGAAATTGTAAAACAGCGTTAAAATAGACAAAGAACACAAGGAACAAAGTACACGGGCAAGACGCTGTGCACGTTCAAATTGGGAACCCAGTTACGTAAACAATATTCTGACGGGACATGGGTACAACATAAGAGAGTCAGATGTAAAAGAAAAAAAAACGCATCTCCACGTGGTGAATGATGTTGATTGGGGCGAAGCTCTGGTGGTGCTTGTCTGCGTAGACACTGAGCCGCAGGATGCCGAGCCTTTCGTTCGTTTTCATTCATGTCACGCTGCGGTCAAATGCTCAAATGCGTATATAAACACGTTCCATACCACACATTCTCTTTATACCACACATTCTCTTTATACCACACATTCTCTTTCTGACATGGATGAAAACGAACGAAAGGCTCGGCATGCAGCGGCTCGCCGCCTACGCAGGGAAGCACCACCAGAGCTTCGCCCCAATCAATATCATTCACCACGTAAAAATGCGTTTTTTTTTTGTTTTTTTTGCTTTACACGAGCACGGGAGCACGTGCTCGTGACCCGAAGGCGGACGAACATACGGACATGGCTAGCCCCTAAGGAGCTTCGCCCCTAAAAAACTGCACCAAAACATTAAGCTGGGCTAGTTAGTAAATAACTACCAAAAGCACATGGTGCCTAGTGTTCTTAGTTTATTTCAGCGCCCCTCAGTTTAGCTCTTTCTTCGTGTTTCTCACCTTTCAAACGCCGTCCCTGCGACGCGCAGCCGATGACGAGGCTTGTCCACACGACGGCGACAACGACGAACTCTCTGAAGGACGGCATGGACCAAGCTCCTCTCCTTGTGCCCCGAAGACACTCACGTGACCCAACCCCGACCCGAGACACTTTCACCAGGAAGTCGCACCCAGACAATAACCGGATTGGCCGCGCGCGCAGTCCGTCGCAAGGCCGTCGTCGTCTGACCGCGATGTCCCGACTCCCTCCCCTCAAGCATCCGGCCGGACGCGGAAAGAGAAACCGCTCGAACGCGGTGAACAAAACCACAGAAGGGGTCATTGTCTGGGAGTTGGGTAGCCACGTGATCCGAAGAAGCGACGAATAGTGAGTGACCTTCACCCTTTCCTGGGCCCTTGCCAAGCGGACGGTTGACCCTCCGGCCTGCTTCTTCGGCCATGACCTTGACAGAGGGCGGAACGGTGGGGGGCTTCCCGGTATCTCGGCCGATCAGGCATTCCCCCCTTCCTTCCCCCCTCACGTCTGCTTTGTTCCTTGTGGCCGTTTGTTTGGGGCGCCATGCAGACCGGAAAGGGTGAAAGTTTGTTGGAGAACAAGGGGCTTTTGAGCGGCTGATGAGAGGCAGGGCTGTCGGTTGCTTTTGAAGGTGTTGTACTTGAATCTTTGTCCACTGCTCCACGCCAAAGTTACAGGTAGTTGCACCTGTAACTTCGGCGGACGCAAATGCATCTGCAATTTTTTACTTACAGAAGCGCAAGACTGTGGCTTTGGATAGTGCTCATGGTTGCCAGGTTGGGCTATTAATAGCCAAATTTGGCTACTTTGTCATGCATTTGGCGTCGGAATTTGGCGGTTGGCTATGTGGCTATTTTTGGGCTATTTTAAATCCTAACGCGGCACTTTTTTTTTTTTTTGCTTGGTTTAGAGTAGTTGTACAAAAGACACTCATCATGGACACAAAGCGACAGTCCACCCTTTCTGGATTTCCACTTTCAGTGATTTTCTGCGTGAAGATTTGTGGGCGTGACGCCAAAACATATTAGCTCAAGTTAGCTGCCGCGACCTAGATTCAGCTCCGACGACATCGCTTTTCTAGTAATTGTGGCTTATTTTATGCTCCCAAGTTCTTTCTGCTTCTTACTGGCGTCTCTTATTTCCTCCAGTTTCCCATCATCCTTCTACAGGAAGCACATCATCCGAGGAAAATTTATACTAAAGGCAACTCAAGACATCCTGCAGAATTTGATGCCGCCAAGATCAGTGCGCAGGAGCAGCCCTGTCTCCGTTGCTATCCGAACTCGCCATCGCGCTCCCGACTCTGCCCATGTCGAATGCCGCCGTGGAGAGAGTATTCAGTCACGTGTCCCTCACAAAGTCAGTCCTAAGGTAGAACATGTCCTTTCCAACTCTTCAAAACGTTCTCTATGTAAAGTTTGCTTTCCTTGGGAAGAACGAGTTCTGTAAGGACATCAGCCCTACTGAAGAAGTTTTTGTCCGTTTTAACACAGAAATCATGTATGAGGCGGGTAAGCCGGGCACGAGCGTGTGCTTCATAACTATATGACTGCAAAAACGAGTGTGGAAAATTTTTGTACTTTGGTGTTTGAGATAAAACGTTCAATACATCTCAAGATGTCGTAGATCTTGCAAGCTGCTCCTAAACCCTAGATATGCCGACGCAGTGCCCTCGAATTGAGCTCGCACATTCAAGCGCACAATTTTTGGGCTCTGCAGGATATGGCTACTTTTGGGCTACATAAATTTCTTGCATTTGGCTACTTTTGGGCTACACCGTCTGACTTTTGGCGGTTTCAGCTCAAAAGTACCTGGCAACCCTGATAGTGCTTTCTGCGTGGAAATTATCGTATATATTACCCTTCCGATCCACACAGGACGTAATTTCAACGCATTTACGCTTTTTTCGCCAAACCACACAGCGCTTTTCATCGACGTTTCCTCGGCGTTTGGTTTCACATTACCCGCCACGTAGAATTATTGATATATTTGATGGAGCATAACTTAAGCCGTGGAGTTATTATAATGTGCGCTGGAGGTTCAGCTGGCGCTAGTGTACTGGTGCAAATTGAAGCACAGAGCAACCAGTCTAAATCTGACTTCCGGTAATGTTATTCTATGAAAAGAAGCGCAACATTTCTAACCTCACGTCGAGCCCCCATGCATTTGTCTCGAACAACGGCCCTAGCAACGCAAGACAAACGCAAACACATCGAGGGGCTTTATGAGAACCAACGCAGGCGACTTTGTGGTCGCCGCGCCTTGATTGGGTGAGGTGTAGCGTGACGTCAGGGGAAAGACTCCGCTTCGCGATCTGGCATCCGGCTCGCTTCCCTGCATCCGTTTACTCACGACCGTAGGGTTTGCGATCATGCATTGGTGATCGCAAAACGCGATGAAAATCCCGAGCCGGCATTAGCTTTCACCGCCCGAAGACGTTGAGGTTAAAAAAGGCATGGACATTAAGAGTTTTAGCACATCGTTCTGATGGCTCCTATAACGATACGCGATACTCCGCCTTTGCGCATGCATCGTATCGTTATCGGGTTACATTGTAGAAGGTGTCGGAGGTATTCGAACGAGCTATAAAAGCTCTCTTTGTCAAACTAAGGATGGGAAGGGCACCGTCAACGTCGGCCGTTGCGCCCCGCAAGCACTTCTCGACGAGCGGGGCTTCATTTACCCGACGTACAGGGCGCTGGGTAATACCGATACCGACGTGCTTCCATAGCTTTTATAAACGCGTTTGTCACTTTTTCCTTTTATAATTAGGTTACAAGTACCGCGAAACCTATCGGCGAAGGCATTTCCGCCAATGAACCTCCCCGTCCGTCCAGACGACACAAGACGATCGTGCGAGAGGTCGGAACAGACGCCAACAGTCTGTTTTTTGCATGTTCGTGAGTTAGGAGAATATCACACCCCGTTTTACGGACGTTTTAAATGATGTTTATGTGAAAGGCCTTTGGGTGTGAGTGCCACTCCGCATGCGTTCGGCTTTAAAGGCCCTGGGTCTGAAAATCTTTGAAATTTTTGCATAACAGGAGCATTTTACATAAATGTAGCTTCTTGGTGAATAAGTTATATAGTTCACACACGTACTCAGGCAGTTTTTGTTTTTTTTATAACAGGCATAAATACTGGAAACATGTTTGTATTGTACTGAAAAACGGCCGAATCGCCACCAGTTCCCTGTATGAGATGTTGTATTGAACTGCCCAAAATATGCACAGCAACATAGTGCCGTAATTTTGAATGTTTATTCATTTAATCATGTTCTTTCTTTGTGGCCGCCTTGTGTATTCGGCAAATATATCGTTTAGTTTGAATTGTCATTTCCAGGTGAAAGACAGAGTGCTGTAGGTCCCCAAAAGCTTTCTCAGCGTCCAAAATCCCCACAGCTGGACCCCCTGACAATAAAGGAAAACAGGAGGAACAGCAAGCGTTTGAAAGGTTGTCCAGTGGAAGATGCTTAACTAGTATGAAACAAATGTAGAACCTGTGGAGGGTGAGAATTTGCGTAAAACAAGTTTCGAGATTTTTGGGCCTTAGGACAGTTTCCCTTAGCTCACAACTCAATTTTAGAGCCTGCACAACATACATTGTCGAGAAAGGAGTAATACTGGGCTATACAGTTTCACTTACGAGTCCATTAAAATTCTATCCCGATCTGAAAGCTCAAATGCAAGCAAACCAGTGTATCAGATATCAATAAATAACTAGCATGTGTTTGTATTCCTTTCATTTTTTTAGCTTGCCCTTGTACTTGGGCTGTCTCACTTGTGATACTCTCTCCATAGCCCAGAATATATTTAACATGTTGCTCGAGCAGCATGCAGCTTTTCTGCTTCCGCGTTTTTGTTAAGAAGCAGGATACAAATAAAAAAAAAACGGAATGGAATGCAAAACCTCTCAATTCATTAAGACTACCAGCAACATTGATCGTGTGAGATGTTAATATATCGTGATGCTCCTACTAGCGTGGCCACATTTCTTCCCTTTCATATACCAGCTGTGATTCAAGAGCTGCTTTCCTGTCAACCATGCCTAAAATCTTGGTAGAAGTTTCGACTGCAGCTATAGGTCATGCCTTAATAAAACCCCGTATAAAAAAGTGAAAGCCCGTAACAACTCCCTGTAACGCCGAATTGGAGCGCAGCTCTTGAGGAGGAGGAGGAGGGAAGGGTACTGAGGGGAAGGTATGCCCCTCCTCCTCCTCCTGCTTCTCCTCCTCCTCCCCTCATTCTTCAATCTCCTCCAAAGGGGGGGGGGGGCGTCACGTGACCTCGGGGGGCAGGGGGGGGGGGGGGGGGGGGGGGCCTCGCGCGGTGCATTATGGGACATTTCCAGAATGCACCACGCAGTTACGCCGACGCCGCTCAAGCCAGAAACGGGCGCTTAAGAGCTGCGCTCTAAAATTCACACTTCCTTCGTAAAACGCACTCACGACGTGGGGATGGAAACGAGGGTGCTGACAGCTAAGGTAGTCACGGCCTCCGCAAGGCGAGCGGGGCGAATTGGAAAAAAATCATGTCCTCGGCGTGACGTCACCCCGCTTCGCCGTAAGGGGGCGCCACCCGAATTCCTCGGGGCCAATAGCCATTTTAAGCCGACCTGGCCTAAAACAGCTTCCATTATTCAATAGTAGCCTTAAACAAAATACATGAATAGCACAGCCTTGTTAATAATCATCACTAACAAGTTCAACCATTTGAAGTTCAGCCGATTTTGCTACTTTATTCATTTATTTTATACATAAGCAAGGAAATAACAAAGCATTGCCACTAGACAGCGCCAACCTGTAGACATTTCAAGCTAAAGAGGTCAAGAATTGATGCCATGTAGCCAGTTATAGCCACTTGAAGCCAATCTCATCAAAAACAGAAATTGTGCAAATTGTCAGTAAATATATTACTAGTTATTTTCAATAACTTCAAGGTAATCAGGTCCAGAAAAGATGCTTCTTGCCAATCGTTGAAGTAAATAAAATTTAGCACACCAATTTAATGAACTGTCAATAATAGTCATTCATAGCCACCTATAGGGAGTATTCGCTGGCGGTCATAGCCAGG